TATATTACCCTTTTTTGGTTGTTTTGGGTCATCAAAACTCTTTTATTTTTAGTTAGGTCATTAAATCCCAAATTATGAGTTATTTCTCCTTATGCTTTAATTTATTGAAATAATAAATATTTTCTTTGGAAATATAATTTAATTAACATTTTGCTTTGGATTTTTGGAATACTAATTTCCTTGTTATAGATTGTGGATTAGTAAGCCCTTGATATTGAACTTGGAATTACCTTCCTTGGATAGAGATTGTAAGTTGTTAAATCTGTTGAACTGATTTATGGATTTAGTATAATTGGATTTAAATATGAGTTTATATACCCTTGTTTTTGGTTGTTGAGTCTTAGTGCTCCACCTTTTACATTATTAATACTTATGTTTTTGGTTGATTTTATATTGATTTTTGGGGATTGGTCTCGAGTATGATGATTGCCATCATCATTACTCTAAATGAGATAACTCCGGGTATTCTTACTGGACATTCTATTGTCTAACTTATTTTGACTTGTGCTTAGATTGAAGACTTAAGGGTTCGTGAGAAGATAACAATGATAATTTGAAGGCATTAGTTTGTAAGGTTGCATTTAAACTTGTGATGATTATTAAATTGATTAGTACATTGCGTTTTTAAACAAAACTCTAAATTTTGGTACGTTGGGACCTAACACCACACAAAAAAATAAAAAAATAAAGTGTTTTTAAACTTGTATTTAAATTTTAGGACCATATGTTTTTCCGCATTAAAACTCTAAATTTGATTTATTAAAAGTCAAATGATTTTTAAAAATGTTTTAAAACTACCCTAACGAGGGGTGTTTCACTAAAGGTTGTGTCTTACGCCTTAGTGTTTTCATTTTATCAAAGTGTATTAACTAAATTAACACTTGACCAGTTAAGGAACACTCTAGTTAAAGAACACTCTGTGTTATATGACAAAACCAAACCCGCATAACAAATTTTTCAAGACTATTCTTAATGATGTAAGACATTTATATCTTTTGTATAAATGAGAGATTAAAAACTAATTTGTGTTCTACCTTTTCGATGAGATAACAAATTACAAATTTTGCCTAATTGATGTAAACCTTAGTCCTACTCCTATTTTGGGTCCTATTCACCTCAAAGGCACTAAACCTGCGTTTGTTACACAAATATGACCGAACTAAAAATCTTTTTTTTTGACTATTTCATTGGCGAAGAGAGAATTTATGCCTTTTGCATGATGAGAGAATTAATGCCTTTTGCATAGACAATTGATGAAACGAAAGTGTTTATGTTTTACATTTTCACACAAGACAAACAATCATATTCTTTATCTCAATAAAATTAGTCGCACTCTAATGCACATCAAACATAATATATAACACCCACAAAAATTATATAAGCTTTCTTTTTGCACAAACCTACAATTAGCAATGAGAATATCCAAGGAAACAATTCAACAAAAATTAGGCCGGAAGGAGTGGTAGCATTCCTAACACATTGTCATATAGGTTCTTTTATTGTCTCATATGTTTTTTTTAATTGTCACATAAGCTTAACATGTATATACTGAAAAAATGTAGGGAGTGCTGCTATGTGATTTTAATAGGTTTTATTTTGAAAGAAAAAAAAATAGACACAACTAATCACAACCCAAACTTCTTTCTCTCTCTTCTTCTCTTCTTGCTGTGGGTGTAGCGATCCTTGGCCGGTGAGCTCCGTGGCGCACGCCAAGGGCATAGTGCAGCAAGGCTAGCGCCTCCTAACGAGTCCTTTCTAGCGACTCACTCCCTAAAGCTTTAATACCAAAAAAAACCCGAGTTTAGTGTCATTTTGTAAAAAACGTGACTTTAGTTGCAACTTCATAAATTTTAAAAAGTTAGTGGTAAAAGAACACAAGATAAAAACAAAATCTAATCTAAAACGATCACACCATCTTTGTTCGCTTTCGTTCACCCCTACCAAACATACGGTTTCTCTAGTCTCCCTACCATTGCCTCAGCGTCACGTCGAGGGCGAACGTCTACGCCGGAGCTCCTGCTTCTCCCCTCCTGTATTCTTCCTCCCGATCGTAAGTTTAGGTAGTCATATCGATCCTGTTGATTCTGTACTCGGAGTTAAAGTGACTGTTTCTTAAAATTGTGTTGGGGACTTGACGTATTACGGGGTCTACAACTGCATTTGATTTATCTATTAATCAAAAATTAACATCGGGATAATATCTTGCAGTTTGAGGTTAACGTTTATGTATTAGCCTATCGAGTGCATTTATGTTCTGTAATTATTAGATTAAACATATTGTGGTTGTATTGCTTTTACCTTTTATGTTATTAATTACCATAGCATATATGAGATCTTAAGCTGCTTCTTTCACTCTTCAACATTGACTAATCGAACTTGTTGCGTCAACTACCTAGCATCAATAGTCCCTTCACATAGTGTATGTTCTTCATGGATCTTTGACCACCTGTATGTAATATCACACTGGAAGTTACGCATTGAGGTATTAGGATGTATATTTAGAATGCAAATCTGACTCATATATCTTGTTCTAATACAAACTCATTAGGTATTATATTTCATAGTTGAATATGCCTATTTATGATGTTGAAAGGTAGGTAAGATATACAATAAGAGCATATAATTTATTCCTGAATGAAATTGTTAATTTTTATCTAGGGTTAATTGCTTGTTTATCTGGCATGAATTATGCAACCTCTTATTACACTTTGTGCTTCTGTTCTCATTATTGTATCATTATTGGTTATTTGTTTACTTTTTTGTTTTATTTAACTGAAATGGTATTGATGAATGATTTGTTTAACTCTTTATATTTTAGATCTTTTGTTTTCTCAATGTGTCAGATCTTGAATTCTGAAAACTTTTGGTATTACTGTTTTCTTGCAAACTTTGTCTCCTAAGTTGTCTCTGATACCCTTTTGCAGAATTTATAGGTATGGCTTCATCTATAGTGAATATGCCATTGAATGTTGGAACAATTAGGGGTTTAGATTGCCGGACTTATGGAAATCTCAAAAATTCCCTTCCGATTCAGTCATCACCTTCTACTTTGCCACATAGGCGTATGCTTGTATTAAAGGCTTCAATTAATGATGGACCCATGAAAAAGATGGGTAGGAGTGATGCTGAATGTGAAGCTGCTGTTGTTGCCGGAAACATCCCTGAAGCACCTCCGGTGCCACCCATTCCTTCATCGCCAGCTGGCACTCCGGTGGTTCCTTCACTTGTAAGTTCTCACCTCAGTTTCACTATTGTCAAACTTATGGATTTGAATTTGTTCAAGGCTTCAATATATAATTGCACAATGTTATTGATGATATTTTTCATCTTTTCTCTGTTATAATGAACAAAATAGCTTCCTACTTATTACATTATGCCTCAGAAACCACAGGTTTTGTTGGCAGCTATCTAATATTTAGTTCATGCAATAACTATAAAAAATTGAATTTGATCATGGAAAATGCTAGAGTTCATAATCTTTACTTTTCCTTTTGTTTTGTGAAATAAATTGGTAGATAAGTTGATTGGTCTTATTTTAATAAAGTATTTTAATGGAAAGGGTTAGATTCTAAAATAGCAACGTACTTTCATTGATTTGTTTATTACAGAGTCCTACTTTCATACTTTGACAAATCTATCAATTATATCCAAATACAAAGCAATCTTCAGTTTTTCACTGCTATAATTGGATAGATCTTAAAGTATAAAGTCCTAAATAAGAAATTCATTTTGAAAACATAATGTTATAATTGTGTATATTTTTCAAACTAAAATGCTTTAACAAGAAAAAAATTGGAAGTACAATGTTGTGATAGAAAGAAACGAAAGTAGGATGCTATAATACATGTCTATTTCTTGCATTTAGCCTTTATTGGAAATTGAGTTTCACAAGGCTTTTAGTTTCTCTTAATTTGTTGTACTCTTCCTGACCTTTATTTATTTATTTTTTCTGTATAATTTATGAAGGATATTAATAGAAGACCACGTCGTAATCGAAGGTCACCAGTCTTGAGATCTGCATTCCAAGAAACAAGCTTATCCCCTGCAAATTTTGTATACCCTCTTTTTATTCATGAAGGTCAAAATCCTTTTTTCCCCACTAAATAAATGATATCTAAAAACATTTGTGAAAATCAGGGCACACGTGTAGAAAAGGAAGAAAAACTAAATGAGTCCTTTGAATATCTGTATTAAGTTGTTCTTTCTGCATTAAGTTTAAAAGAAATGCCAATACGTAGCATACCAGATTATTATTATTCCTCCATTAAGTGTTTTATGGATACGTGTTGTTTGGATAAATGAAACTTAAAAAACATTTGAAAAGTAAATGATGACAATTTGTAAAAAGTTATGACTTAATGGGGAAAGCCTCATTTCATTGACTTTCCGTATTAGATCATTCTTTCTGCATTAAGTAAAGGGTTAATCTCATAAAAGACCTTATATTTTGTGTTTTTTTTCCGGATTAAACCTTAACTTTGATTTTTTTATGAAAAAGACCTTGCATTTTTTCATTTTTTCCGATCTGGCCCTTTTAGTCATTTTTATCTAAAAAAAGTTGTAAAATGTGAGGGTTTTTTTTTCAGGAAAAACAAAAAAAGTTGAGGGTTTATTTGGAAACATTTAGAAGGTTGAGGGTTTTTTTCGGAAAAAAAGACAAAGTTGAGGGTTTTTTTTGGAAAAAATGAAAAAATATAATGTCTTTTTCATGAAAAAAATAAAGATGAGGTTTAATCCGGACAATACACAAAATATAAGGTCTTTTATGAGATCAACCCTTAAGTAAAAAAGAAATACCCTGATATACTTTACCACAATAAGTCATGTCTCCATTTATTCCATTGAGTAAAAAAGGAATAAAACCAAAATATTTCTTATATTTTTTATTGCATAATTTCCTTATTCTTCTTTGGGATTTTCAGGTGAAGAGGACACACCAATTGGCGCCATGCCTGGTTGCTATAGGCTTGGATGGAGACATGGGCTTCTAGAAGAGGTCCCTTATCTATTTTATGTCCCACCCAAAAACTGTGCAAAAGACACAAATACCCTCCTCACCCCTATCATCAAATAAGCCTTAGGAAGCTCGTGCACCCTTTAATTATATTATAACATATCTATTTCATTCCAATTATGAACTATGCAAATTGATATTAATGAAATAATATAATAGCTTTGTGATAACAGTATACTTTGTACAGGTGGCAAAGGCCCGTGATGTTGGGGTCAACAGTATTGTGCTTTTCCCAAAAGTTCCAGATGCATTAAAGGTTGCTATCTATTTTCTTAAATGAGCTAAACAACATATATTTATTATTATTATTATTAAGACATTGAAAATTTTGAAAAGAAATGTTACATGATGATTGTGTTTTGCCTCTTTAGACTCCTACAGGAGATGAATCATATAATGATTCCGGATTAGTACCTAGAACAATTAGGTTGCTTAAAGACAAGTACCCTGATCTTGTAAGAATTTACATTCAACCTATTTTCTTTTTAGTTTTTACTAAAAGTAATTATATTTATATTTATATTTACCTTTTGGTTAATGTTTCACATGGACAGATCATCTACACTGATGTTGCTCTAGACCCGTATTCTTCAGATGGGCATGATGGTATTGTCAGAGAAGATGGTAAGTGTTTCTTTTTGACTTAATAGAGAAAGTTAAGGAAATCAAAAGTCTAAACTTTTTACAAATTTGCCCTCATTTTTCATGTATGTTACATTTCACAGGAGTTATAATGAATGATGAGACTGTGCATCAGTTGTGTAAACAGGCTGTTTCACAGGTATTTATCTTTATTAATTTTAATGCTATTTTCTTCAATCACTAGACCATTTGAACTTTTGAGTTTTGATTTAATCCATTAAGCCAT